GGTAGAGGTGTCATCGTCTGGTTTTGTCTTGACTTGGGTTTTTTTCCGCTGAGGCACGGCAGGAATGCGGCGTAAAGGCAGGAAAATGCCTGTTATGTGGGAGGGGGGGGACGAGGGAGCACCCCCCGGGCCAGCGAGTCCCGGCACAGCCCTTCCGCGCTCCCCCCGCCCCCCTTCTTTTGCGCATTTGCCTATCTGCAAAGAGGGGGCATGGGAAAAGGAGGCACGGCGAGCAAAGGGAGGGGGGGGGAATAATCAATTGCTATTTTTCATCTTTGACAAAGTAATTAAGGCGGAGGCACTTGCTCGGCCGCTCCGCAGGGCGCGGAGGGCACTGCTTCGCGGGTAGCTCTGCCTCCGCGGGGGGGTCACCGCAAGCAGGCGGACCCCGAAAGGGGCAGTTTCAGGGGAGGGGTGGGTGTGTGTTCCCTTTTATTACCACAGCGCCCCGGAGCAGCCGCCCTCCCTCCTTCCCTACCAGCGGTCCCGGGGGGCTGTGCCGGTGGCCAGGGCTTAGGGCAGCGGGCAGGGACGGCTTATATCGGGGGTGGGTGACCCCCGGAAATAGGGAGAGGGTGGGGTGGGTTGGGGGTGAGCTGCAGCCAGGTGCTTTTCCTTACTCCTTAGGTACCTGCGTGGGGCGATTCGCCTCCGGGACCGGCGTGTGGGGGAGACGATGAGAAACCAAGAAAGAGCTCAAAAAAGCCATTAATGAACGTACTGGCAGTTACCTGGGGCGTTCAATCCTCGCATTGGAGGGCTTTGTTTTGATTTTGAAATGAACCCTAACTCCAAACTAGGAGTTTCGGCCAAGGGCAGGTGTCTGCAGTGTGAAAGCCTGTGCGAGAGGAGCGCGGCGGAGCTCGGCTTTGCAGTCCCCAGAGCCGGCGGGGGGGTGTTGGGGAACGGGAAAGGGTTTGAGATCCGAGCCGTGGTTCTCCGTGGGTTTCCCTCTTGTCCAAGCACGGCTCCGGTCCTCACCGAGAGCGCCCTTCCCCGGGGTGCGTGTGGAAAAGGGGTTTTCTTGCCGTTCCTGAAAGTAAAGGAGATCGATTTCTCTTTTACAGGGGTGAAACTTCGATTTCACGTTTCAGTGCTGATGGAGAAATCAAAAATACCGCTTAGAAATGAATGTGAAGAATGAACATTTTCAATTTTCTGAAAAAGCAAAGTAAGTCAACCTTGTGAATCTAGAAGAGGTTTGGGGGCCTTCGCGACCAAAATACTTCTTGGACTGCTGCTGCCTTGTCGCTTTTAATTTGGTCCGTGCCTTTGGAGGCATTAATGTAACCTGAAGGGCAGCATAGCTGAGCTAACGACCCTGCTCCCTTCCCTGGCTCCCAACAGATAGTTCTGCGGCTGGAGGGTGCGTTGAGAAGGAAACACTGCAAAATACTAGATTTTTACCCCCTTCCCCAATAAAACTAGCTTCTGTGTGTGCCCCTCGATTTCTGGATGGATCGAGGGGGAGAAGGTGGTCGAAAAGATGCAGACGAGTGTATTTGAAGAGAGGAACAGACAGCAGTTTACACGCAGTGTGTATGGAGGTCTTTATGTGTAAAAATAATCTGTATTTGCGTATTAAATTTCTATACCTATAGGATAGGTAGGCCCCCGTGCTTGATCAGGAGCATAATAAGTTAACGGTAGCTGTGTTACAAACATGCTCTGAAGCCTTGCTGTAAGGCGAAAGCATTTTTCATCTGGGAGACAGGGCGATCTCTCCTGCAAAAAGCGATTTTCAATGTTCTGCTTTGCTGGCCCCGATCTCCTTGGCTTTCGTGGTGCTTTTAATAATGTTCGCAGGTGGATTTCTGCTTACATCCGCAATGAGCAGGTGTAGCGTCAAGGCGCTGGGCTGAATTCTAGCGGAGAGGGGCAGCCTCCGCAGCCCCACCTGCGCGCCGAGCTGCAGCCTGGCGGTACGGGCAGCTGCCTGCAGTGGAACAAAAGCTCTTCAGTCCCCTCAAACTCGCAGCTCCTGACGGCACCGGGCAGCCGGAGGCTTTGCAGAATTGTCTGGGCTGCTGCGAATTTTTGATTTACTCCGTCCGCTGAAACAAACGGTGGTAACACGTAAAATCAAGGACGTACAAGGAATTCATGTGGTGCGGGCGAGTTTAGCCCCCTCCTATCCTCTCCTCCCCTCCCCCGAATAGGCGCACACTTCACATCGCTTACGCTAAAATATAAATACTCTCAGGAGAAGCTGACGCTAGCAGAGTGTATGCGGAGGAACAGCATCTCTGACGGTGAAACAACCGGGAAGGTTGCTTAGGGAGCATCCCGATTTGCCAACAAGCTTTTTTATTTTTGTCAGTGTGAGCAAAGTTATCTTGTGCGCAACAAATCTTTGAGCGGGACCCTCAAATAGCAGATAACGCTTACGAGAGGTGTTTAGGGGTCAATTACTTCGTTGCTAAAACGATTCTGGATTAACATCTGATTTTTAATGATGAGTAATTCCCCCCCCAGTTCTGAAACTTAAGTGCTTTGATGGGTGTAGGACTAACACCAACACTTGACTGCGGTTGCCTTCATCTTTGCTCCCACTTAACTGTTCTTAAGACAGTTTTAATGAAAGATAAGATGGATTTATTGTGTGTATCGTTTCAATTTAATTAGGGCTGAGGGTTGTCCCCCACGAGGCACAGTAAAAATAGACCATATAGTCTTGTGTGGTGCAACGAGACCTAGAAAGACACAATTAAAATGTATTTGTGTTCTTTGTACACAGTGAACTTCTCTCTTTGTGTATAGGTATGTGGATACATATCTATAGAAATGTGTATATATATAAGCTCTTATAACGTCTGATCCACCTGTGAACTGGAGAAATGCAGGGGGAAAAAAAAAAGAGAGAAGAATCACACACTACAATAAGAGGGAGGGGGGAGAGGGGTAGAAATGGAAGGTTTCTCCCCATTTCTCTCTTGCTTTGGGTGCAGTAGTACGTGTTTCTCACATGTTCCCTCTAATCACCAGCAAGAAAGTTCTGTGCTCTCGCTGGTTTTGGTTTAGTAATCAGCCCCCATATGAGTCACACGGAACACGCAATCCCACCGCCACGTGAGTGACAGCTAGCCGGCGCTCTGGCTTCTTGTTGTCCCTTTAAAATCTGAAACCAAGGGTAATGATTTATCAAACTCTTATTATCAAGAAAATGTCAAACGAAGGGCACCTTGCTATGCACTGACGCAAACCCAGTCTTTCCCAAGGAAGTATAGAAAGCTTTGCTCTCGGCTGAGCAAAATCCAGTCTGTCAATTGCCAGTACTGCTGTTTTTACCTCTACTGCGTCAGTCTGTGGCTGTTTAAGACATGGTGAGTGCTTGATTTCTTCTCTTTGGTATTGAAAAGGGCTGAGGGGGAGGCTTCGTCGTTAAATTTGGGGTTGGACCCCTCGTCCTCGCGTCGGTTCTCTCTGTCGGTGCCTTCCTCGCAGCGAGGGAAGCGGTGCCGGAGGGGGAGCTGTCCGCGGTGCTGGGGGAGCTGTCCGCGGTGCTGGGGGAGCTGTCCGCGGTGCTCTCCGCGGAACCAACGCGGGAAGCCGCCCGCGGACCGGGGTAGGGCTTCTGCCGGGGAAGGGGGCACGGGGGGGACGGCGGTACCCCGAAGTGCGGTGGGAGAGTGACCGAGTCCTTCCAGATCTTATCCCCGGTGCGGGATTAAGACGAAGAGAAAACTTGCGACAGAAACAGCGATGGGTAGTTTTTGTGAAACCTTCTTCTACAAAGCAGGTGTATTTTTAAAGCTCATATTAAACTGATGGAAATTGTAGGGTTTGTCTGTGGGTTAAGGTATAAAAAGAAGACACGTTTTAAATTATAATTTTAAACTGGAGGAAAAGGCGGGGGAGGATGTGGGAGTGTCGTCAGTAATCTGTTTAATGAATAGGGAATGCTTAAAAAAAAATCTTTAGAGGAGCGCATGTCGCAAACATAAGAAAAAGAATAGGGAAAGCCAGCTGTTACTGTCGTTAATTCTGCTGTGCTGATGTGGTTATTTTTGCGATTCACTGTCATGCTGTCGGGTTTTGAAGGGCGGCAGTCAGCTCAGAAATGCTCACCAGCACTATTTCGCTTGTTTTTTTAACATCTCCGGCTGCCTACAGGGCAGATTGTCTATTGCCTCTATATATATTAAAACAAAACAAAACAAAAAAAAAAGCCGATGTGCATTGTTGAATGACAGAAAGGAAATGGGGCGTAAAATTAAAGAATCTTTCTACACTGGTGATAGGGAAGGGAGCATCCTACAGCCGTGATGTGAAATCTAACGAGATCTGGCGGCGCAGTGCTGTAGAAACACTTACTTAAACTCGAATTACGGGTCTGCAGACGCTGGTATGGCTTGTTTGTTTTGAGTTTTTTGTGTACCTTACTGTTTTCTCCCCCAGAATATTAACGTTGAGTGAGAGGGCAAGCAGGCGAGCCGGGGCATCTCGAAATTCTGCCACACTTTGTATCCAGATTTTCTAGCACACGCGTTTTGTGCACGAGGAAAGAGATTCGTAGAATCTGCAAT